TCCTGTGGTGAGATGGATTTGAGGTTTCTGAAGGTAATTTGTCGTTTTTCACTGTAAGGCAGAGGGGGGGGGTCGACGTTGAAAGTGACAGCCAGGTGATCAGAGATATAGAGGTTGGTGGTGGAGAGATGGTGGATGGAGATGCCGGTGGAGCAGACGAGGTCGAGGGTGTGGCCATGGGAGTGGGTGGGGGAGTGCACATGCTGGGTGAGATTGAGGGTGTCGAGCAGATCCAGGAAATCAGATGCTTGTTTGCAGGTGGGGTTGTCAATGTGAAAGTTGAAGTCTCCAAGCAGCAGGACAGAGGATGAAATGGTGTTTAGGTGGGTGACAAGTTCAAAGAAATCAGAGAGGAATGATGGGTGGGGCTTTGGGGGGCGGTAGATAGTAACAATGACCAGAGGGGTGGGACCGGGGAGTTTGACAGAGATATTTTCGAATGAGTGGACGGACAGGGTGGGGGCGGGGGTGGTCTTGAGGGTTTGTTTGTGAATAACTGCGACGCCTCCGCCTCGTCCAGTGAGGCGGGGTTGGTGTAGGTAGGAGTAACCGGGGGGGGTGGCTTGGTTGAGTGGAAAAGAGGTCGAGATGGTTGTGCCAGGTTTCGGTTAGATAGAGGAAGTCCAGGTTATTGTCTGTTATGAAGTCAGCTAGGATGTGTCCTTTGTTATTGAGGGAGCGGGTGTTTTGAAGGGCCATCTTCAGGGGAGGGGGCTGTGGGGTGGGCAGTGAGGCAGGGGGAAGGCAGCGGAGGTTTGTTAGATTTCTTGTCCTTCTTTTTGGATGCATGGGATTTGAACGGGAGGGTCCAGTAGTTGTAATTGTTTTAATTGTTTGTAATTGTTTGCATGGAGAGTCTATGGTTGAAGGGTGTAGTGGCTGTTTCGACCAGGAGGGGGAGCTTGATGTGGTGGGGGCGATGGGGTTGGTGTGCAGTACCAGCTGGGGCCTGTTGGGGGAGCCGTTGGTGAGGGTGGTGAGGGCGAGGGTTCTGGAGGGGGGCCTCTGGGGGGCGCTGTTTCCAGGTGGGGTAGTGGGAGAGGATGACAGGGAGTATGTAAACAATGATAGTCAGTTGGTGTGTATGTGGTGTTGGATATTAGCGGCTAGTGTCTGATGGCCCAGTTTGTTTGGGTGAAGTCCGTCATTAGAAAAGAATGGGGGTCGGTTCCAGAACAGGTTAAAATTGTCTATGAAGTGGGTGGAGAGGGTGCTGCAGAGGGCTCGAAGCCAGGAGTTTAGGCTGAGGAGGCGGCTAAAACGATCGATGCTACGTGTCAGTGTTGGAAGAGGGCCACTTATAAAAACAGTTTTGCCGCTGCACCTAAGGCTATCGAGAAGTGTCCTGAAGTCTGTTTTAGTCTGTTCAGACTGTTGGTGAGCCGTGTCATTGGAGCCAACGTGGACAATAATGCGGTGGATAGAGGCAGGAAGTGATTGGAGAAGACCGGGGAGTTTTGCTGTGATGTCGGCGACAGTTGCACCGGGGAAAGAGCCAGTGATGGCGTTAAAATAACGAATACCTCGTATGATGCTGTCACCGATGATCAAGGTGGTGGGGGGAAACAGCGGCGGGGGGTGCATGGCTCCTGTGTCCGAAGCAGGGCTGGTGGCCGGGGTACGGGGACTCAGCGGTGCGGTGGATGCCAGCGGCTGTGGGGCAGCTGAAGCGGGCCCGGCGGAGTTCCGTCGGACTGCCTCCCGGTGAAACCTCCTGCGGGTGGCCGAGGACGCGGGCCGGCTCTCCGAGCGGTGGTCAAGGCGGGTTCCGGGACACCGCGCGTGACCAGGGACCGACGGAGAAGGGTCCCCTCCGCCAGTGCCAGGCCACACGGGAATCCCACTGTACGCCGGCAGGGAGGTGTTCTTAGCGCCAGCGACCGGTGACTCCCGGGAGCTGGTCGCCAGAAGAGCGGAGGCAACCCGGTCCTCGAGCCGGCACGCAGCGAGGGCACCGGAGGACGTGGACGAAGGCCCGGGGGCTCCGCCGGGTGGCCGTGTAGGAGCCCTGGGAGCTCCGGCAGCCGCTGTAGAGGACGCCACCACGTCACCGCCGAGAAGGGACTGGTCCATGCTGGTGTTTGCAGGCTCAGGAGGATTCTCAGGAGCCTCGAAGCGGCTTGGAGTGGAGCTTGAGGTAGGCCCGGCCGGGTTCCAGGGGGTGGTGTTGGGGATTTTCCTGCCACGTGTGGTTATTTCAGTCCATGTTGAGTCCTGGTTGGGTGCAGCGGTGGATGGCGGTTGGGACGGGGTGGACGGGCTTTGAGGCTCCCAGGGTAGCGTGTCCTGGAGGGTTGTTTGGAGGGAGAATAGGTGGAGGGATTGCTGGTGGGCCACATCAATGCAGGTTGTGAGGAGAGTGGATTTTGTCTTGAGCTCATCGGAGAGTTTTTGAATATGGAGTTTGAGTTTGGTGATTGTTTTGTTTGCCTCGTGAAGCGCTTCGGTCTTTTCCAGGAGCAGGGAGTCGCTCGCTCTCTCGCTCATGCTTGCTCTCTCGCTCTCTCGCTCATGCTCGCTCATGCATGGCTGGTTGGTGAAAAATTCTGTCTCAATAACAAGGTCAAAGAAGTCTCTTTTAAAATATTACATCAGATTTACCCTGCAAAGAAAACTCTTGAAAGATTCAAACTGGACATTGAATATTTATGTGATTTCTGTGGACTTGAAGATGAAACCATCTCTCATTTATTCTATCATTGTACCTACAGTAAAACCTTTTGGATTGATGTCCAACAATTTGTGCACGAGAAAACAGGAAGAACGATCAGTTTCCAGGAAAAACATATTTTTATTTATTATGATGACCAGGACAAAGATCTGGGCTTTTTTTGTCAGTTGATCTTGAGCTTGGGGAAATTCCATATCCACAAAAACAAATGGGCCAAATCTAAGCCAAACATTGCACCCTTCAAAAATGAACTGCTCCGTTATGCTGCCACGATCAAGGATATTAAGAACAAGAAAGCTACCAAAACATACTCTATAATGAAGAAATTCTGTACCATTGAACTGTAAGTCCTCTGGCTGTTGTATGTCTGTGTTTTGTTTTCTGTTTTTGTCTAAAAAAGAAAAGAAAAAAAAAAAAAAAAAGAAAAAAAGAAAAAAATCAATTCACATAAGTATCACGATTCTTTGTTTTACAATTTTAAATAGATCTTTATATTCAAGATTCATTTTTTTTCAAATTCATGAATAAATCTTAAAAACTGAAAAAAAATAAAAAAAAAAATAAAAAAATGAACAAACGCAATGAATTTCCGCGTTACCTCCGATTGGCGGACCCAAAAGAATTACTTCCAGTGGATAGGCTTTCTCGTTGGCGGACTTCCGGCGCCGAAATACTTCAGGTAGTCGGATTTAGTCGCCGGATCCTTTTTTTTTTTTTTTTTCGCTCCGTTCATTCCATAAGAATCGAATTAAATTTATTATTGATCTAAAAATCAAAATAAAACGTTTATGTATTAATTATGACTACTGTTTTGTTCTGATTTAATTCTGAAGTTTACAGTAATATGTATATATAGACTGATGTCCTCATATTCTGATAATTTGTCAGAATAGGTATAAATGTATGTAGAAGTTATCATCTTACTCAAATTCTTATGTAAGAGTTTGCTACAAGTATGGACTGTTTTAACCTCTCGTTACACATCATATAAGAGTGTTTTCTAACTTCTCTCTCCAATAGCTTTATTACACAGCACATGAATGTTTCTTAACTTCTCTGTGACCTTGTTTCTCCACTCCTATTAGGACCTCGTTTAATGTCAACAATGTTGCCCTGACCCTCACATATTTTCTGTTGTTCATAATTATGTTTTATGAGAGTGCTTATGTTGCTGCACATATTTTTCCCCCCATCCTTTAGTAACATTGTGTAACCAGGGACATAATTTATGAAATGGTGTGCTTCCTGGTGAACCTCTTCAGGATTGCTTAACACTGCAAAATCCAAGTATACAATAATTGTAGAGACACAAGTCACATGATCTGTTTAAGGTTCAGAAGAGCCATATAGCAAAAACAATTGAATTGCGATATCATTACAGACTGTGTAAAGAAATGGGAAATTGTCATACAACTGCTTCAAAGATTTCTTTAATGTTTTCCAAAAAATAAATTGTGAACAGTAAAAAAAAATATAATATATACATAATTTAGAGCGTTGCCGTCGGTGTGGTGGGGGGCTTAAAATATGTTGCCACAGGCCATCATCTGCTCTGCTCTTAACCGGGTGATGCCATGCTCCTGAAGTGCTTTGATCAAAAACAGTCAAATAATGTGAACAATTGAAGTTATGCAGTATGGGTTAATTGTTGTTCTTGAGCTTTCCAAATGAATAAGAACAACCTCTTAACAATATCATCAATTTTCAAAGCAAGCTATATAGTTTGATCTACTCACCTCTGGGAGCATGACATCAAAAACAAAATCAAGCAGGTGAATCTCGCCTCTTTTGATTTTTTCTGAAATGGTTGTTGCCTCCTCAATGAACCGCAGGAGCTCGAACATCTATTGAAGAAAAACACAGAAAGTAAACACCTTTCAAATGTAACACCTCTGAGAGTAAAAATACTCATGATGGATGGCATTTTTACTTACGCGCTGCTCACTCCAACTTAGTGTCCTTATCTTAAGATGCTGCTTTAGCCGGAGTGAGGTGGCGGGATTCCTCCAAAGAAACATTCTGTTGGAGCGGATCTTTCCAGACAGTAGATCATCGTGTAATGTCTGAAACCAAAGAGCAAGAGACAAAAATGTAATCATCTGAAAAAGAAATGGTGGCTTTAACAACTGATAGTGCATTCAAAAGCAACCTTGATCTGTGTCTTAGAAAAGACAGCATCAATTCCTCCACTGTCAACAGCATCCTTGATCCTGCAGAGAAATAAGAAAAAGAGCAAGCCCTCATTTTTTCATCCTTTGAGCCTCGTATTTTTGACTGATACTATGTTTCCTTGATAAATGATGTTATACCGAGGATGCTCAATGGAGTCCTCGCAGCCGCAGTCAAACGGCTCCATGTCAATCCCGGCACAATCCTGATGCAGCCAGCCCCTGCACGTCTTGCACTGGACCCATTTTATCAATTTTACCTCAGGGTAAAGCAATCTGATCAAATGAGAGACAAACATAATATTAAACAAACACGCTGTCCAATTGATTATACCTCTACAGCACATTTGAATGTATAAATAATTTTCCCGCATGATTCGTGCATTTAAACTATATGTAAAAGTGGTCACTTCATGGAAAATCACTGAATAGGCCCCGATAATTGCATTTATTAAATTGAGTCTGCAATACACCTCTCTCCTGTGTTGTTCGATGTCTGGTAGACACAGAATTGCATTGAATCTGCCATGCACATTCTTTGGACATCCGATGCCATCTGCGTCATGGTTTCCTTGACAAGGCAATTTGAAAAGTAACATCAATTACCAAATACATCGAGACAATGTTGATCCATACAACTGTGTGCATTTTGAAGGACTCCCACTGAGATAATACTGTTTTTAGAAGGCAATTTTCTAACCTCTATGTCCTGCTGCTCTGCCTTCCTCTTTAGACTGAAGACCGGAGTATGCTTTCCAGCAATGAGCTCTTGACATTCTTTGGTCCAGTGGGCGAAGATTTTCCCACAACTGTAATGACAATATATCTTTAAGTACAATATATTGATTGTCTTCCAGTTAATTAGGGCATCTAGTTTACTTAAACTGTCTACCTGTTCAAAGAATTGTTCTCCAGGAGCAACAGGCACCACCATCGCCGCAAAACAGGCATGTCATGCTGAAATTGTTGTTTGTATTTCATTTTAGTGCACAATACAAAATACAACCTTGAGGATGACACTGCGTGTTGAAAAGTACTTACAACTGAGTAGTCAAACTGTGACTCCATAACGATGTACATGGCAGACTTAAAAAAAAAAATTATGAGACAACATGTGAGATAACTTTAAAAAAGTCCATGTTGGAAAGTTATTCTAGATTCAATATTTGTGCATTACAGCTCGTTATGACCTACCATCAACATGAATATGCCACAGTCTGAGCCGAACTCCTGGCTGGGGAAGCCCTGATTTAACAAAAGCAAACGTTAATCATCTTGTCACATACACTTTGTAGGAGCCAGATTGGGGTTTTGCAGTTTATTGTTATGTATTTTTTGTGCCAGCAGATGGTGCTATTGTGCCTGTCTATTTAATGGGTGGGTTGATTAGGACAGGTGCGCACATAAAATGATGAATGAGTAAATAAATCAAAACAACAGAAAATATGGACGGTGTGACATGTGACATTATTCCACCTGCGGGCACGCATCAACTCAAGCAAAAAGGTGTTCGCCACAAGTAACAGCATTGGAAAGCTGTTATACACTTTTCAACTGTAATATAGAGCATGCACAAATACCTCTAAATCTCTGCCCGTTTTCTCAGTCCATTGCCCAGGACATATCTTCTGCGCAATGTTCCTGTTAATTTGAGAGCGTCACTTAGATTTCCCATGATGGAACCAATGGAATGCAGGGTTAGGGTTAGTTTGAGTGGGTCGGAGGTGAGATTGAATGAATGCGGACGGCTTGCTTCTTTTCAAACTTCCTGAGAGTTCTTCTTCTGTAAATTTTGCCGTCAGAAAGTGTAGGTGCATACCGCCACCTACTGTTCTGGCATCGCAAAGCGGAAGTTCATGTTTTGGGTCCGCCAATCGGAGGTAATGCAGAAATTCATTGCGCCAATCAGAGGTAATGCGGAAATTCATTGCGTTTGTTCATTGCGTTTCTTCATCTTTTGGGTCCGCCATCTTGCGCTGCAGTTGGGTACTCTTGCCTGCAACAGCGAATGAGCCCATCTGTGTGAAGATAAGCTATTTTTAAATGGGGCAAACAGAAAAAGGGAGCAAGCGGTCAGGTCTGGACCGCGAACAAAACGATTTACGGCACTTGGACCAGAGACGACGCGCGTTTTTCTCCTAATTTTGCACTGAAAACATGCATATTTACCTGGAAGTGCAAAACACAACCGCAAAAGAGAAAACACGACAGCAAATCAAAACACAAACGCAAAAGAGAAAACACAAACAAAAATCACAAAACGCAACTGCAAATCACAAAACACGGCAGCAAATCACATATGCAAATGCAATTAAAAAAAACATGACAGCAAATCACATATGCAAACGCAAAAAAGAAAACACAACAGCAAATCACATATGCAACGCAAAAAAGGAACTGCAACCCCAAATCCCAAAACATGACAGCAAATCACAAATGCAAACGCAAAAAAAGGAAACGCAACCACAAATCCCAAAACACGACAGCTTCGTCTGTCTCCTTCCTCTTCGTAGTAGTTTAATGGCAGTTTCCTCGCTGGGTGTGGCGTACTACTGCCATCTGTACTACTGCCATCTGCCATCTACTGCTGTTGTGTTTTGGGATTTGCGGTTGCATTTTCTTTTTTGCGCTTGCATTTGTAATTTGCTGTCGTGTTTTCTTTCTTGCCTTTGCATATGTGATTTGCTGTCGTGTTTTGTGATTCACAGTTGCGTTCTGTATTTTGCTGTTGCGTTTTCTTTTTTGCGTTTGCATTTTCTCTTTTGTTGTCGTGTTTTGTGATTTGCAGTTGCGTTTTGTGATTTGTGGTTGCGTTTTCTCTTTTGCTTTTGCTTTTTGATTCACAACGTCTTGCAGCAGGAGACTCCTGAAGACACCGTGTTATGCTGCAGCTGCTACCACGGAGTGATAAGCTCCTCCACACCGGAGAAAGAGGCAGAGCAGCTCTGTGTCACTAACCTCAGTGGTTCTGCTGCTCTAGGTCTGTCTCACACTCCACGGCAGGCCGGCATTTAAAAAGTAAGCTGCCTCAAACTGCTCACAAAAAAAGTTAGTTTGTGGAGCACTGATGTGCAAGCCAGATAATTGTCTTTACACTTTACAAGTGTCTTTTTGTCCATAGTGGCCGCCAAAATCAATAGAAAATGAAGACTCCGTCCAGCTGCTTTAAATAAAAAAAGATTAAGTTTGGGAGGAATTTTCACGTTTTTGGTGGTATGTTTTTTTTTTTTTTTTTTTAAATCTGATTGGCAGTTGGAATAAAATGCTGTGTGACTGGATCAGGATGTCACAGGTTAGAGATGAAGATGACGTGGATTCTGATGAATGGACTTCTGTCTGTAATAGAGGTTGTCACGATACTAAAATTTTAAACTCGATAGCAATACCCTGGAAAATACTCGATACTCAATACTATTTTTGATACAGCAGGGATAAAAAATGACAAATACTTTTAAAAGGCATAAATAATCTTTTTATTAACATGAAAAACAGAACGAAGGATTCATGATCAATTTTAAAAAATTATGAAAAAATCAAAATGAAAAATATTTATAAAAACAAGACAATTACTTTTTCACTTCGAACCCAGGTTTCTCCACAGTGTAAATGGGTAGTTGGTCCTCACAGATACTCTGCTACAGCTAAAGTTTATTTTGACAGCTTCAGGAGAGTTTGGGTCATACCTTCTCTGTTTTTCAAGTAGCAGTGGAAGAGTAGGCTGTGGTTTCTTGGTTTAGTTGCAGGTCGACTTCTCCCTGCTTCACTCTGCATTTTTAAGAGAAGACAACGCATTAGCCAGCTAAAGGCTGCTAGCAGCGGGCCCGTGGCTAATGGCTAATCACAAAACAACCAACATTCACTGAGCATAAAGCTAACATCATTAATAAGTTTAATACAGTAAGGTTAAGGATGAACAGGAGCTTTACCAACCTGCTGGAATTCGTCATGAAGGCCAGGGTACTGGTCTTTAAGGTGTTTTGCCAAATTAGTCGTGCTACCTGATTTAGAAACACTGGCCATATTTGGCAATAAAACATGGGACAGCAAGTGGGGGTTCTCCTGACTGCTGGCCTACTAGGTTGACGCTGTCTACCGGGTTGGCTGCGCTGTTTGCGGAGTGCACTCCGCGGGCGCTGCGGGCAAGCGCACCATAGTATCGATACCATGGCAAATTAGTATCGTATCCGGATACGGCATGTATGTATCGATACTTTTGACAACCCTAGTTTGTAGTGGAGAAGGGAGAAACAGGAGACAAGATGAGCAAGTAGAACTAACAGCGAACCAAGGGAGTAAGAGAGGTTTGGAGGAAAATAACTTGGATAAAGAAGTCGGGTTGTTTAAAGAAAGATGGAGAAAATGGAATTGAAAGTAATCCCTAAATTCACACAAGAAGAAGGGGGGGGGGTCCTTTGCACTGTCGAGAGAGAAAAAAAATAAAGTAGGAGATGTGGCAAAGGCAAAAGTCTTAAGAGATGGCAACTTGTTAATAATATGTAAAAATGAGGAACAGAGAGACAAAGCAATGAAGGTGGAGAATGTCTGCAAAAAAGTAGTGAGTGAAAGAAGAAATCTGAGTATGGATAAAGTTTCTCTAGGAGTTATCGCTGGCATTCCCATTCATGACGATCTGGAAAAAGTCAAAGAAGTATACAGGGAGGAAAAATAAGTAGACCAGAAAGACTCATGACAACAGTGGATGGTCTGAAAAAGGAAAGCCTCTCGGTGTTGTTAGAATTAAGTGATGAAGTTCTTCCTGAGAGAGTTAAAATTGGGTGTATGGTATTAATGTCAGAGGTATGGCCCATATAGCTGTTGCTTGTTAGGGAAAGCAAAGATGTGCGAAGTGTGGAGGAGAGCACAGATGTGAAGAATGCAAAGATGAGGTGAAGAAAAATGTTGCAACTGTGGAGGTCATCACAGGGTAATATATGGAGGATGTGAAGTGAGGAAAGGGGCAATGGAAATCTAGGAAGTAAAAACTGTTAACAATATCAGCTATTCAGAGGCAGTGAAGAGAGTGTAGGGTCTAAAACCAATGAATAAAGTGTATCGAACTTGCCACAAGACAGGAGCAGAAACACAACAGGAGGAAAAAGGACAAATAGACTGGAAGTGGAGAAACTAATTTTGTTTATTGCAGATGTCATCAACTGCAGAGATCAAGTTAAACAAAAGACAGAGAAAATTAAAATAACTGTGATGGTGTTGTGGAAAATCCAGCATAAACAATGCACAGGAGACGAGATGAGAGCTGAAGAACAGCCTGGGCGTCTTTAATTGTACAGATGTAGAAATCAGTACAGATGACAAACAGAGTCTCGACCAAGACCGAAGGAAGCCCCCCTAGCTTTTCTTCTACTCTCTTTAATGCTGTTAGGTGTGTGTGTGTGTGTGTTTGTGTGTGTGTGTGTGTGTGTGTGTGTGTGCATGTGTGTGTGTGTGTGTGTGTGTGTGTGTGTGTGTGTGTGTGTGTGTGTATGTGTATGTGTATGTGAATTCTCCAGGAGGCCCCTCATGATATCATGTCTGCCCCACGACACTTTGTTTAGGTTCGTCTTGACCCTGGCAGAGATTAAATGCTCCAACAGACAGATAGTTCGGGCTCCTGCAAGACAGCCTTGCTTACAATCTCAGGGTCGTGGGGCTGCAGGAGCAGGCCAACCTAGATTATTTGTAGCTTCTTACTAAAAGATAATTACTCTATATTTCTAAACCTAAATGTATGAAGAGATTCTCCTACAATGGGAGCTGAAAATTTCTTGAATATGAAAGAAATGTAATGGAAACAAACTTAGAGTTAGGGCAGATGGCAAAACCAGAAGGGTTTTGCAGGGAAAACCTAATGCATATCTTGCAATGGAATTCCAGGAGCCTAGCATATGTAGAGATGGAGAGGAGGGAAATGGGGGTGGGTGTGCGATATTTATATGGTAAAGAATGATGTATAGAGTGTTACAGAAAGGGGAAGACTGGGAAATGATAGCTATTGAAATTTGAACTATAGATGGAGCAATGAAAATAATTAACTTTTATAACCCATGCAAAAAAAAAAAAAAAAAAAAAAAAGATTTTAATAACCATAGCACATTTTTAGATATGTACAATGATTCAGATGGAGAGGATGGAGAGGATAGAGGAGTTAATGGAAATTAAAAACTTAACATGTTTGAATGATGGTCAGGGTACAAGAATAGATGTCAGGAGAGCATCAGAGTCAGCGATAGATCTTACATTGGTGTCAGAAACACCAGAAAACACAAGTAATTAGGGCAACAACAGAGAGTAGTAATCATTATCCAATTATCACAAAAATAGGTCCTAGATTGAAAAGTAATGGAAATGTTGGTTTAGAGAGGTGGATGTTTAATGATGTTAATAGTGCTGAATGGGAAAAATTCTGAATGATTACAGATGAGAAAGACTGATTTGAGTCAGGATGTGGATGAAATACATTTTTCTATATGTCAAACTATTATAGGAGCGGCAAAGTAGACTATTAAGAAGAAATAAGGTAAGGAAAAAAAATAAAATTGTACCATGGTGGACAAAGAAATGTGACAAGGCAATACAATTATCAAATTAAGCAGTTATAGTATTAAAAAGAAATCATCATGATCAAAATCTTATTGAGTACGAAAGATCATAGGCTTAAGAAAGGAAAAATAATTAAAAAATAGATAAAAAATATTGGAATATTGGAGGAAATATTGCAGTTCAATAGGAAGAGAAACAGATATAGGTAAG